TTGTAACACTAAGCAAAACAGAGGCTGACAAACTTGTTTGCAGTGTGAAGCCTGCTGGAATGCACACACAGAGAAATGGGGAGTAAAGGTGAAACAGGTGAATAAATACACTCCTAATGCTTCCAAGTGCTGCATTAGTTTAGAAGATCAAGGTGCTGTATTGCTTTAATATTTATTTTTGTGTGCTGGTTAAGCTGTAGTTTGGACAGCTACTAACACCTGGCAGCAACAGTGTACACAGCTGCATGGAAAACGACTGAGTAATTCCACTGAAGGTTTACAACATGTTAGAGTTTAAGGGCCAAGAAATAACACTGCAGGAGGAGAACTCCACGTGTTAACTCGGATGCTATTTGAATGCATTGAGAACTAGGTTTAAGAAAAGTCCTAGGTGAAAAAAAAAAAAAAAAAAAAAAAAACCAAACAAAAACCCAAACAAACAAAAAAAAAACCCAAAACAATCAGTCAAGGCTTCTTTCTTGCCCTTCCCTAGCTGATACGGCTAAACATTCTGCTGTTGAATCCATTGCTTGGGTACTTTTGTTCAGGTTGATTCTCAGCAGTGCTTCAGAAATACACAGATGTAGTGTCTCTTCTGTTTCTCCAAGCCTCCTAGTCCTGAGGTGCTTTTAGCTGCTGCTTCAGAATTGCCAGTGGTGGGTGATTTATCTTATCTGAATTACCATGTAGGCTTTTGCAAGGGTGTATTATGCTCACAGGCATATAAATAAACAAACCATATCAAAACTTGAAACTGTCCTCCAAAAAAAGGAACATACTTTGATTTAGTTATAAGTCAGCAGTGTGTGTGTACCTTGTACTGCGATTGTTAGGCTTTGGAGGATCTGGGAAATGTAGGTCTGACATTAGAATACTGTGAGGTTTGGGACAGTGAAGACATGAATTCTTTAGAATTTTTTTTTTTCTAACTGATATTTAGAGAAGATCTGTAGTATTATAAAACCAGGGTGTATGTAAAACTGAATGTTGTTAAAAATGTACAGGCTGCCTTAGGGTTCAGATGACCTCTGGCAATCGGATTGGATGGTGCTATTAGCATGTTTTTACATAAATGCCTTTTCACTGTATGCTTTTGAGTAAAACACTTTAGGAATCTGAATAAGTTTGAAACTTACATTTGGGTTGCAGCCAGCCTTTTAATCTTGTTTATTTTATTCAAGTAGTTTGCAAGTGTCTCTTGGTTCTTGATGAGGTTTTCCCTAACAACGTTAGGTATTTTGTATGCCTGTATTTTTCTTCACTCATTCCAGCCACTTTTTTTTCTTTCTTACCAGGGAGGGTCAGCTTACAAAACTGCCTGAAACTAAAAAGACACTTTTGTTTACATTTAACGGTAAGAGAACTGGTGTACATGTGTTTATGTGTATCTGGGGGAGTGTTGTGCTTTATTTGTGCAAGTCAAATGCTCAAGTTCTGTCGTCTATAGAAGACAATATGATGAATGACTTCAGTGCATGTAACAGGATCATTGATTGATTAACCAGGAAACAGAAGGCAGTAATAACACTGGGGACTAAGCGGCATATTGTCATGATAACAGGATACTCGATCTTGCCATTAGTGATCTTAGTTCATACTCATATCCCTACTGGTGGTTGTAATAGGGCACTATCGGAAGATCACTTGTTTTTAAGCCACACTCCTTGCAGTTTGAGCTTGCACAGTTACTTGGTTAACCCCATTTAGGAAGAAAACCAGCCTGTTGGGAGTCTATTCTAGAAAAGGCCCATAGTTCTCTTCAAAATTCAAGGCCTTAACTCCAAGGGAAGTTAATGTCAGAGCCTGAATTGAACCCTTATGCTTGTATTCTGTACTAATAAAACTAAGAAGGATTGTGTGTGGGAAATGTGCCTGTCGCTGTGAGGAATCTAAATGTGATCTCCAAAGCTAAACGCCTCTTTTAGTTAGTTGTGTCCTTCCTAAAGAGGAGGATAAGAACATCTTTCTTTCATAAATGGTGTGAGCAATAAGGAAAGAATGTTATAGCAGGTGGAAAAATCCTGCCAACCTCTCTGAATTAACAAGAAACTCTTTATTTCAGTGCCTGGTTTAGGCAACACTTCCCCAAAGGACATGGAATCTTTGCTGCCTCTGATGAGCATGGTTATCTACTCTATTGACAAAGCAAAGAAATTCCGTCTGAACAGAGAAGTAAGTAGGGTATATTTTTCTGTCTTCTGAATATTGTATGAAATTGCAACCATTACCATTGGATCCTTAATCTTAAGATTGCGAGTCTTATATGACTACCAGAGCAACTGCATCCTGCTCACGGGGAATCTGTATTAACTGCGTTTGCTTTTCTCTGTGGAAAGGGTAAACAAAAAGCTGATAAGAACAGGGCTCGTGTGGAAGAGAACTTCCTTAAACTGACTCACGTGCAAAGACAGGAGGCTGCCCAGTCCCGTCGAGAAGAGAAAAAACGGGCAGAGAAGGAGCGAATCATGAACGAAGAGGATCCTGAAAAACAGCGTCGGCTGGAGGTGAGATGGATTTTCAGACTATTATAAGGTACTGGCATATTTCTCCTACGATATCTGCCGGGCTGCCTGTAGGTATGCCAGCAACGGCCAACTTTGATTACTTATTTGCTGGTTGGCAGACAACTTTCAGGGTAAATGCATTTGCTTTCTGAAACATGTGAAGGCTCCCAGTGAGGAGCCAGCTCACGTGGTTAGAGATGTGTACCCAAGTACTGCAGGTCTTTTTTTGCTCTTCTGAAATGATCAGCTTGCTCTTTGAAGAGCTCCCCGATGTTCGTTCAGATCTGTGTCCTTGCCTACAGGAAGCTGCTTTGCGGCGTGAGCAGAAGAAACTTGAGAAGAAGCAGATGAAGATGAAGCAAATCAAAGTGAAAGCTATGTGACTCCATTGTGAAAAGCGTCTCAGTACCACCTGCAGAATTTTGATTCACAGGGTACAAAGACCTACTTGACTCCATAATCCTACACTTCTTTGAACACTAGTAGCCATGAAGAGAAATGTTCCTTGCATTGGTGTTACTTATTTAAGTATTACAGCAACATGCAGGTGTACATAGAGAGCTTTGTCTCGGCAGTTTTATTCCAGGTGGTATAAATTTTTGCTATTTGTCTGTTAAAAAAAGTTTGCAATATTCTTGAATGCTCTTTGTCATTTGTTCTTTAAAAACAGAAGATTGTAAACCTGTCCACGTGTGCTGGTAACATATTCATGCTTTGGTTTTAAACTTTGGTTTTTGTTATTGGGTGGGAAGGGGGAAAAACCTAAGGGGATGAAAACTGCACAATAAAAATTTACTGTGCATTATTTGCATCAGGCTTGTAAAGGCACAAAACTTAGAGCCTTCCATACACAGTATGGATTCTTCAGGGATTTAAGCCCAGTAGAACAGAAGTTATTTTTATTTTCTTTTTTTACAAACAAGGGACTGAAACAGTATTAGGTCTGGGCACGATTGGCATATGTGTAAAACATATAGATGCATTAGACATGAGGGAATGGAATACATGAAGTTTCCCACTTGTGGTCTTGAATGCTGCAAGCTTAATACAATGTGAAGTCTGTAATGTCAGCGTGGTGTTTCTTCAGGAGCGAGCGCATGGTGAGTTAGCAGCTTCAATTAGCTTTCCTTGACTATTTTTAACTGTACAAGTTTGCTTCAAAAACTTTTCTCCTGATCTTGGCAGCTGCTGCCTAGTTCACTTCAGCCAGAAGCTAGATTCAGTGAAGTATCTGCAATTGCCAATTTTCCCGAGCAAGTAAAAATGACTCGAAGGACGTGTATCCTCCTCATCTGGTAAATGATCACTTCAGGTTTTTGAATGTAAGTGGGGAGAATGAAGTGAATGCCCCTGTGCAAGCACTTCGCTGAGAGCGCTCTGCATTTTATAAATGCTTCCTGTCTTGAAGGCATTTTATTGTTGCTTGTAACAGACTTTTAAGAGTTTTGTGGGGAAACAATGTCGTGCATTTTCTTGTTCAGTACTTTGTGCAAACTTGATTCTGAGGCAATAAGAATGAGCTGCTGTTTAAACAGCAATTGCTTAAACTTGTTCCAGCATGGGATACTTCACACTGATTTAAATGCAAATGTCTGTAATCTGATACATGCAAATACATTATTTTATAATGGTTGGTAAAATAATTTAAAACCAAAACTAATGTAGATTATGTGAAAATTTAGCACTATTTAGCTTTAAAGATAAATACGGTATTGTTTCACAAAGTTCTTTGAAAGGAAATACTAGTTTGTGCTCTTTTGAGTAAGTGGACAGCTTTCCTAAAGCCCCATAGGTTTGCGGGCCATGGCAGCTAATTTTGTAATATGAACATTCAAATGAACAATCTAATGAATAGTAAAATATAATTGAAACACTCTGCCTGCCTACTTTACTTGGCTGGACTCCGTGTTCCTTTCATCTAATAGAATCTTGAGGCCTCGTTTGCCCCGGGTAGGTTTCAGTGCAGGTTTTAACACAAGCTACTGCGTGCTTATCTCTGCTGTGGTATTGGTGGACGCGATTCTTTCCGCCTGGGACCTGCTCCCTGTGAGGGTGGTGGTTGTTGCAAGGTGGTTGCTTCCTCCATAGCTGGAGGAAGGCGTCTCTCTCCTCGCGCGGGCCGGGGCGGGTGGAGATGGAGGATTTCCCCGCTGCGTTTGAGGTGGGGGCCACTGCAGCGGCGCCGAGGGCCGGGCGGGCGGCGCGGGCGAAGCCTCGGCCGTTTCCTGAAGGAACCAACATGGC